ACTTTTTTCACCATTGAATTTCATTTTGTGAAAAAAGTAAGGTTCCACATTTAGGCAAGAGAAACAAAATGTACAGGTACAGTATAGGTGGTAACTCACTCAACAGTAGTAACTGTGAGAGGGATCTTGGAGTCCTAGTGGACAACCATTTAAATAGGAGCCTCCAGTCCTCTAATCATCTTTGTTGCTCTTCTCTGCACTCTTTCTAGAGTCTCCACATCCATTGTGGCAACCAAAACTGAATATATTCCAAGTGTGGCCTTACCAAGGCATTATAAAGTGGTATTAACACTTCACGTGATCTTGATTCTATCCCTCTGTTGATGCAGCCTAGAACTATGTTGGCTTTTTTGGCAGCTGCTGCACACTGCTGGCTCCTATTTAAATGGTTGTCCACTAGGACTCCAAGATCCCTCTCACAGTTACTACTGTTGAGTGAGGTACCACCTATACTGTACCTGTGCATTTCGTTTTTCTTGCCTAAATGTAGAACCTTACTCTTCACGGAATCCACACGGAACAGCCTCACGGAGGCCGCTACTGCAAACCCTGGCTACCATGCCCCTTCTCTTAGTGGCGGTCGCAAAAAGAGCAGCAGGTCCAGTGACTCTAGGGCTGGCAAAAATGTGCCAGAAACAGAGACAGAACATCTGGCACTCTCTGGACCCCCTGATCTGCAGGCCACAGGCCGAGGTTAAAGGGCCTCCTGCACCTCAAAAATAATACCTCCCCGAAAATAAGGCCAAGCGCTTATTTCAGGGTCAAAAGAAAATAAGACCCTGTCTTATTTTCGGAGAAACACGGTAACAATGTAGAGCAAGAAGTATCTGGGTTGATAAAGACAGACCTGTTTAATATTCTTTCCTCTTAAAAAAAGCTTTCTCAGCAGTATTTTGACTAGAGAAAGATGCCTAAAGGCAGACCGCCCAGAAACTGCTCCCTGTTATTACAACAATCTTAAAAGTTGTGCTCTGCATGCAAGGAATACAGGTAGTCCTCGACTTACAACCGACCATTTAGTGACCATCCAAAGTTGCAATGGCGCTGAAAAAAGTGACTTATCAGAGATTCCCCGCGGTTGCATGATCAAACTTCAGACACTTGGAAACTGGTGTGTATTTGTGATGGTTGCAGTGTCCTAAGGTCATGGGATCACCTTTTGCAGTCTGCTGACAAGCAAAGTCAATGGGGAAGCCAGATTCACTTTACAATTGTTGTCACTAACTTTATAACTGTGATGATTCACATGTAACTACTGCAGCCAGTTCATACAATGAGGCAAAACTCACTTAACTGTTGCTTAGCAATAGAAATTTGGAGGTTGTGATATAAGATGAGGACTACCTGTATACAGAGGGACAGAGAGAGATGGGTAGTTTCTAAATCTGATTAACAATAAGCCCTAATAATTTCTTCTTTTCCCTTGTTCCCATCTAGGCTGCTTTTCTCCGTGATTATTGTTTCATGTTTCTTGTCATGTTGTTTTATAATCTATAAACTTTTTTTTCCAGTAACTTAAATCATGCATATTATGAACAGTTGCCTGTCTGCTTAGATTTTAAAGTCCCATAAATAAGATCTTAGCCAGTTCATTTCCCAAAACCTTCCAAAAAATCCTTTTTCGATGTTTTTAATTAAAGTCCTGTGTGAAACCCTCCAGCTGCCTCTCTGGAGTCATCTGGATGATGGGCAGTATATAAATTTAATTATTAAAATGTATTTATTATCTACACGTATACATTTAAGCATCATTATTAAAAGGTTTACATTTAAATATCATTAAATATCATTTGAACTTCCCTGAGGCTGGTGATTGGAGCTGTTTTCTACAAGGGGGGAGTCAGAGAGACAAAGGTAGGGGCCCTTTAACTCCATTTCATTTGAACTTTCCTGAGGCTGGTGATTGGAGCTGCTCGCCGAGAGAAAGCGAGCCCGGGGGCCACGGCCTCATCTTCCCCGGCCCTTCAAGCACCCCCGACAGGCGGAGAGTCTCGCTCACCCCGGTCGTTGCTGCTGCTGCTGCTGCCGCCGCCGCCGCCACCTGAGCAGCTGAAGCCGCCTCATCCCTTCGAGCATCCTGGCGGCAAAAGAGGCTCCCTTCTGCCCTTCTCCTCCTCCTCCTCGCCCAGAAAAAAAAACAGCCGCCTCCAACGCCCCTAAGCGGCCATTGCTTCGCTCCCTCACGCCGCCGGTCGCCTAGGCCCGCTCGGATGATGCCGGAGCCTCGCGACGGGTCGCGCAGTGTTGGCGTCACGGCGAGGGGAAAGAAAAAAAAGCCGACAGCGCACCAATAGAAACGCTCCCCCCACACTCTCCATCCCCATCTCCTTTGCGCGCCAACGGGGCACGTGCAGGGGGGCGTGTCCGAAGCGCACCACATCAACAGAGGAAAGCGCGGGGAGGGGGGAAAGTGGGCGGAGCATCCCGGGTGGTAGTTGAAGGGGATTGGCTGCGTGGGGAATTGTCGCTGGAAGCGATTTTTTAAATGATTTTTTTTTCTATTAAAACAAAAAAAACCCCATTGGAATTGTAATTTAAGAGGATTGGAAGGAATTAAAGCCCACCCCTTTGCTGTGTAGGGGAATGAATGGGATGCAGGGATTCCGATTCAGACATGAACAGATAACAGATTAAGAGAGTTGGAAGGGACCTTGTAGGTCATCTAGTCCACCCCACCCCGCCCAAGCAGGAGACCCTACACCAGGGGTGCCCAAACGTGGCAACTTTAAGACTTGTGGACTTCAACTCCCGGAATTGTCCAGCGAGCATAGCAAGTCTACAAGTCTTAAAGTTGCCCCAGTTGGGGCACCCCTGGTGTAGGGTCTCCTGCTTGGGCGGCGTGGGGTGGACTAGATGACCTACAAGGTCCCTTCCACTCCCAGAATTCTGGCTGGAGAATTCTCCCAGAATTCTCCAGCCAGCATAGCAAGCCTACAAGTCTTAAAGTCGCCAAGTTTGGGCACCCTACACCATTTCTGACAAATGGCAGTCCAGTCTCTTCTTGAAAGCTTCCAGCGATGAAGCTCCCATAACTTCCGATGGCAACTTCTATTCCATTGGCTGATGGTTCTCACTGTCAGAACATTTCTCCTTATTTCTAGCTTGAATCTCTCCTTGTTCAGTTTCCATCCATTATTCCTTGTCTGGCCTTTGGATGCTTTGGAAAATAGCGTGACACCCTCCTCTCTGTGGCAGCCCCTCCAATACTGGAACATTGCTATCATGTCTCCCCTGGTCCTTCTCTTCACTAGACTAGCCATGCCCAGTTCCTGCAATCGTTCATATATTTTAGCCTCCAGTCCCCTCATCATCCTGGTTGCTCCTCTCTGCACTCTTTCTAGAGTCTCAAAGTCTTTTTTTATAGTGTGGTGACCAAAACTGGATACAGTACTCCAGGTGTGGTCTTACTAAGGCTTTATAGAGTAGTATTAGTACCTCCCTTCACCTTGATTGTATCCCTCGGTTAATGCAGTTTAGCTCCCGAATAAATCTCTTGTTTGTGTTGATTAGCAAATATGACAATTTTTCATTGGAAGCAATGCAAAACTTTTAAATTTTCTCCCTGTCCTCCAGGGGGGAAATGTGGAGTGTGAACTAAAAAGATGGAAATCCAGCTGCCAAGGGCCAGATGTTGTGGCGTTAGAAATTGCAATGAAATTATGCTGCCAGCTGTGCCGAGTAGCCCATCCAATTTTATATTCTGACATGGAGTATCATTTGAAGCCACTAGTCCTTTCGTTTCCAGTCTCATAATGGGAGCTTTCAGATATTTCTGGCAATCTACTGTGCAGATAAATCTCTAGATTCTTTGAACATGAAACTTGGAAAGTTTTTTTTTTTTTTTACATACTGTAGCTTGCTTGCTAATACCATTAAGAGCTGTGGTGGCACAGTGATTAGAATGTAGTCTTGCAGGTTAACTCTGCCAACAGCCATGAGTTCAATCCTGACTGGCTCAAGGTTGACTCAGCCTTCCATCCTTCTGAGGTCAGTAAATTGAGGACCCAGATTGTTGAGGAAATATGCTGTGTAAACTGCTCATAAGTGCTATAAAGCAATAGCACTTAGACTTATATGCACAGTGCTTTTACAGCCCTCTCTAAGCGGTTTACAGAGTCAGCCTCTTGCCCCCAACAATCTGGGTCCTCATTTTACCCACCTTGGAAGGATGGAATGCTGAGTCAACTTTGAGCCTGGTGAGATTTGAACTGCCAAATTGCAGGCAGCCGGCAGTCAGCAGAAGTAGCCTGCAGTACTGCACTCTCACCACTGCGCCACCATGGCTCTAAAGCACTATAGAGCGATATATGTCTAAATGAATCTGGCTGCCCCATAGACTTGGTTTCTCAGAGGGTCAAAAAATGTGATCACACGACCCCAGGACACAGTAACTGTCATAAATTTGAGCCAGTTTGCCAAGTGGCTGAATTTTGATCACATAACCATGGGGATGCCGCAACGGTCGTAAGAGTGAAAAACGGACATAAGTCACTTTTTCCAGTTCTATTCGGTTGCTAGGCAAACAGTTGTAAGTCAAAGACTAGCTGTACTTCAGAGAAGTGTGGACTTTACTTCCAGATAGAATCTTTCTCCAAATCAAAAGTGCGATTCACGTGTTCGGCTGATTGGACTGATCACTGAGATCAGCAGGAGTTTAGTAATCAAAACTGATCTGATGTGATTCTTAGTGGATCCAGTTGCCTGAGAAATCCTACCTTTCCATCTGCCACCAGATGTCACTCTACCACTGTTGTTTCCCCCACGACACACACACACACAAATTGTCTTCCATCCTGTTCTGTTTTTATAAGAAGCCCTGCCAATATGATTTGGGGCTCTACAGCCTTTTGGTGAAGGAAGCATTTGTGGCTTTAAAACTCATCCATTGGTAACAGGAACAATTCTGTCTCACCACAGTTTCAGTTCCCCAATTCTACAAAGGCATTTGGAAGAGGCTGTGTAGAAGGGATTGTTAGAGTTATCTCACACATTCATTCTGCATGTTCCATTCCTTCCTTCCTTCCTTCCTTCCTTCCTTCCTTCCTTCCTTCCTTCCTTCCTTCCTTCCTTCCTTCCCTCCCGCTTCCCTTCCCTGTTGTGTGAGAGTGACTAACCAAAAGTCATTTAATGAGACTGTAGGTGTCATACCTGCCCCAGTCTGATCCCATAGGGAAGTAAAACTCTCGACTCCATTTGAAATGAAAAGGCACTTTTAATAAGAGATGCTGATTGCAGTAGAGCAGGCCTGCCAAATTCCTGGCCTGCAGGGTGGATGGATCATGTGCTGGCCATGCCCACGCCCATGCCCAGTTTCGTGAAGGGGGGGGGGNATATTATTATTATTTTGAATCCTGCTGAATCAGTTACTTGTGTGTGCTTTCTGAATGTAATTACTGCTGCAAACTTTGACCAGCCAAGTCAGCTTCAGCACTTATTGCAGCCTGATTCAGCACAGCTGATTGGCGGGTGGATTGGACTGCCAGAATACCCTCCAGTCAGCTGTTCCAGGCTGCAGGGATTGCCACAGACATCGCTGCCTCCATGTCTCGCGTTTTTGGACTCTGGAGGGGGTTGGTTGGGCTACATCCGCAGTATAAGACGCACCCAAATTTTCACCCTTTTTTGGGTTGGGGGAGGCGCATCTTATACTCTGAAAAATATAGTATTTGGGAGACGACAACCCCAGCAGAATTTAAGGTATGCAACAACTAGCATTGTGCCCAACTTACATTACTACAGTAAAATGCATAAAAAACTCCTGACACATAGCAGCCTAGGATCCCGATCGAAATTCCTGCATAATCCAATGCCATCCATCTTCGACTGGTCTTTTCTGAGCGATGACAGCAGAAGAGGTGATACCCAACCGAGCAAAGCATACAGACCTACAAAAACAAGGAAACAAATTCCCATTAAATTTTATGCAACTGATTTGTTTGTTTTGTTTAGATTTTAACATGCAGCAGTCTAAGGGGCTTGTGCGTTTTCAGTTTAAACTATAACATGAGCACAGCAGAAACATCTGGCTTTGCTCTACTCAACCTGCTTACAATATGAAAAGAGATGGAGGTATTTACTTATTACACTACTACCTTCCAATATAAGGGGATCCTAGAAGGCGGCTAACAATAATTAGCAACAACTATAGGAAAATACTAATGGACTAAGCAGAAAAATTGAAAACGTCAAATTAGGATTTACACGATCCCCTAAAGTTCTATTACTATGTACTAGTTCTACTAGTGACTAACATTCCTAAGGAAATACAAATGCATTGAGACTAGGAAGGAAGGAAGGAAGATCAACTGGAGATGCTACCTTGATTTCAGAATAAGATGATAACATTGTTCCATGCAATCTATAATTAAAGGACCGTAAATTATCACGACGTTTTGATTAAAATAAATGAGGCAAAAGCCTCGCCTTGGAAGAGAATGCAAGCTTTATTCTATCCCACGCCTTCTGACATACCCATCCCTTGCAAAGTTTGGTGGCCACAGGTAAAAGAACTTACCTGAAAGCAAAAAAGACAAATAGAACAAATAACAAAATCTTCTCTAGAAGCTTTCGCAGAAGGCAACACAGAAGTCATATCGTATATGCCCAAAGTGAAGAAGAGAAAGAAGCCCAGCAAATGACTCCAGATATTGATTGTCTCATTGGACAAAACGAAGAGACTGTGGGGGAAAAAAAGATAAAAACAATAATGTCTGACTAGTTTTAAATAATTTTGACTAACAGCAGCGTAAGTATGTGATCCAACTCAGCTAGTAGTGTATTTTTTCCATGCCATCTGATCAGCATTCTGTCCTTTAGTCTGTCTATCAGAAAGGGGGCACTTTAGGCTGAACCTGAATTATATTCTCTGCGTTTCCTCAGGAAGAATACAAAATCGAAATAAATTGATCACAAAATAGTTCTGTATTCAGAGATTTTAGTTTTTCTCATTTGCAATATTTATATTGCCGCCATATGTGCATGAAAATGGTTCCCGTGACAATCCAGAACTTTGTTTTCTGTTAATTTTTTTTTTTTGCTTTGGACAATGCCTAGTTCTGTGATGGCAAACCTATGGCAGCATGCCACAGGTGGCACGCAGAGGCCACTCTGCAGGCATGCAAGCCGTCGCCCCAGCTCAGCTCCACCATGCATGTGCATGCGCCTCCCGCCAGCCAGCCTGTTTCTGGGACTATGCCACCCATGCATGGGGCGCAGGCTTGGGGGGGTCATGTGTGCATGCGCAGTGGTCGCATGTGTATGCAAGGGGCGGGGGCACACAGGGGGCTGCGCGCACATGCAGAGAGTTGCACACATATGCATGGAGGTGGGTCGCACGGGGGGTTCCACACATGCATCGCATTATGGGTGCATGCAGTCGCTTTCAGCACGCAGCAATGAAAAAGTTAGCCATCACTGGCCTAGATCTAATCAGGGATTCCAGTCTTAAAGCAATGGACAGCATGCAAATTAGTCTCACTGCTCGCAGATTATTAGGAGAGCCAATTACTTCTGCTGTTGTAGGGAGATACTAGGCCTGAGAAATTGCAGGGTGGAGCTTGTCTATTCAGAGTCTAGAAAAAGGGACTGGCAAGAAGAGACTTGTGCCTCCAAAGTTTCAAAGGATAACCAGCAAGACAGAAGAATTAAGATGTATTTCACACAGAGAAAAGAACATTTAAATCAAGTCAATGCACCTTGCTTCATTAGTCGCTTTGGTTATATTTTGCAGAGAGCGGAATATAAATATAAATAAACCAAGCAGTTTCAAAATAAACACATTTCACAGATTCTTATAGGCACTGCTTCAATCCAGGCTAGTTGATTAATTTCACTTTGAACCATTTCGCTCAACTCCAAACCTTTTTAAACACAGCCTAGAAGGCAGGTATGCTCTGTAGCCGTCAGTGATGTAAGGATTATCCTTAAGGAACACAGGAATCTGCTCATAGGTGTATAAACGAATTCCTCGAGGAACGAGAATAGGCCAATACTGATAACTTCCCAGCTCAATGTAATGAGAGCTCTTCAAAGGTTTCTGGTGCATTTTAGTAGTGTTTCAAGTCATCAACCAAGGCAAGAGTAAACATGTAGCAATACACAAGGTTTTGGACTTCTTGTTATAAGTTATCTGAAAAACAGGAAGACAAAATGTTCAGAGATTTAACATCCAAGCTGTCCTCCCTCGTTCATTTGTCACAAAATGTTTTTCTATATAGGAAAAAACAACAACTCACATTCTGAAATTGCAACAGCAGCAGCAAAAAAAAGTATCTTACCAACAGAAGAAATTTTTAAGACTAATGATTAACCTGTTTCTCTGAAAATAAGGCGTCCCTGGATAATAATCCCAATCGGGCTTTTGAGCGCATGCGCTAAAATAAACCCTTCCACGAAAAGAAGCCCTCCCCTAAAATATTTAAACGCATGTCCCATGCGCTCCACATGCACCTGCCATCCAATAATACAATAGCAGAGTTGGAAGGGACCTTGGAGGTCTTCTAGTCCAACCCCCTGCCTAGGCAGGAAACCCTATACCGTTCCAAACAAATGGCTATACAACAGCTTCTTAAAGACTTCCAGTGTTGGGGCATTCACAACTTCTATAGGCAAGGAGTTCCACTGATGAATTGTTCTCACTGTCAGGAAATTTCTCCTTAGTTCTAAGTTGCTTCTCTCCTTGATTAGTTTCCACCCATTGCTTCTTGTTCTGCCCTCAGGTGTAACACACTTAAGCGCTGTGTGAAGTAATAATACAACATTATAGCA